TTTTCCTTTTTGTCTTTTTTTTTTTCGTGACCGGCAACGGATCGCAACCCTCAGTGTCACGCCCGTACCGGACCGGGACCGGCAATGGGATCGCAACCCTCGGTGTTGCTCCCACACCTCGCTCAGCCAGTGAGCGGCTGGTCTGTATGTGGGATCCGAACCCTCGGCGGGAGTGCCGCCGCGCTTCCCAAGTGGCGCACTATAGCAGTGCACCACCGGGCCGGCCCTTGTATTATCTTTTAATTCTACTTTTCCATATATCTTTTGAAATACCCTCATATATGGAAAATTTCAGAAATAATTCTTAAGTTTTAAATTGCACACCATTATGAATATCATGGTGAAATCTCGTGCCATCCTGTTCTGTCCTGCTCAGAACAAGAATCATCCCTTTGTCCAGAGTATCCACTTTGTATATGCTTCCCACCTGTCCGTTAGTCATACAGTAGCCATTTCTGTTATCAGATCAACTGTTGCAGTATCGCAGTGCTTGTGTTCAAGTAACCCTTATTTTATTGCACTTAATAATGGCTGAAAAGTGCAAGAGTAGTGATGCTGGCAATTTAGATACAAAAAAAGAAGTCATGAGGTGCTTCCTTTAATGAAAGGTAAAAGTTCTTGACTTAATAAGGAAAGGAAAAAAAAAAAATGCTGAGACCGCTAAGATCTACAGTACAATAAGATATTTTGAGAGAGGGAGAAAGACCACATTCACATAACATGTCTTACAGTATATTGCTATAATTGTTCTATTTTATTATTAGTTATTATTATTAATCTCTTTCTGCGCCTAATTTATAAGTTAAACTTTATCAAAGGTATGTCTAGGACAAAACATAGTATATATAGAGCTCGGTATTACCTGTGGTTTCAAGCACCAACCAGGGGCCTTGGAACAAATTCCCCGCAGACAAGAAGGGACTATTATACTTAAAACAAGAAAAATAACCCCCCCCAAATTATAAAAAATTAGATATTACCTCAAGAGTATATTGTTGTCTTCCTTCTCAGATAAGGAAGCTGGAAGAAGTGACAAAATCAGCCCTTCAATGGTGTGGCAGTAAGAAATCCATGCAATTCCAATATCACTTTGAACCTACAAACCACAGGGGAAATTAGAGAAGCTAAGAAAGAAAATCTTCCAAATTGAATTAATGTTTACCGATAAGAGGAATTAATCATATATATTCATCGACAATCTGTGTAAGACAAAAGTACACTTATTCCACGCACCAGAAAAGTGCTGAAAGTACTTTTCTCTAAGACTTACTCAAACTTTTCCCAAAGGCCACCTCAGTATCACTCATAAAAAGTAGGATCTCTCTTAAAGTGCATAGGAAATCCACTAAAAATTATAAATATTAGCCAATAAAATCCATATAAAGTTGAGATAACCGAAAATTTAATAATTTCACAGTTAAAATGTTTAAAGCAGCCTTTGCTTGAATCACTCAAATGTCTAGAAAATTGTTCTTTCAGTGACAGAAAAAAAATGTACAAATTCTTGGAATGGGTTAGTAAGCAAATTTAAATATGATCTGAGATATTTCCATGACTAGAAACTACTCTTCATTTTCCAGACATTTCCTCTATCTAAAAAATTATTGACAGGACCCATAATATCTTTTGAACTGACCACCTAATTGACCTCAATAGACTGCTCTTCACTCAGATGATCACAATATGTAAGGCAATTGTATGAATGGCTCAAGGGTAGGCACAGTCATGTCTCATGTGCTGGCCTCAGGGAGTGTTTACTACAGTGTATAGATGCTGCCAGTCAACCACCAAAGAAGTAGCTATTTTATTCCAAAATGAGATATTTATAGACAACCGTCCAATTCATTTCCTCTGACATATGTGGTCAGGATAGCTTCCAAATAAAACTTGTCCCTGTGCACACTACTACCTGACTATCTGAACTTGCTTCACATGTGTGCCTAGCATGGTCCCCGTGCTGAACCTCAGATCACAGAAGTGGCTTGGTCACTCATTTTGTTCAGATTCATTTTGTAGTCATCATTGATCCAGGCACATTTATAAAAGGGACCTTTAGCCTGAACTATGTGGCAGACACTGATCACCCAGCTTTCTGTCGCACTGGGACTCAATGACCCACACTATTCAATCATGGAGACCAGCATCACAGCCAACGACCAGCCCAATGGTTGACCAGCATGGCCAGGGACTCAATGTCACAAGTATCATGACTCCCTAAGAGAAATGTCAGTATTCTTAGAACAAAATGCTTACCATGTGAGAATTCCCACTGACTCTTGAGGATGAGATGACAGAATTACTCTCAATACTTTCCTTCATGTCACATCTCAAGAAGATGGCATCAAATCTCAAACCCAGTTTTTGGTCCATGCCAATCTGTGGAAATAGTAAAATATGGAAAGATGAGAAATATACATGTCCATTTGTCAAACATGCAGAGATAGGATGGTTTATTATGTACCTTCATATAAAATAAACAAATGTAACTCTACAAGGCTGTTTCTGATGTTATTCTAAAGGGAGGAAGCACAAAAATCTTGGAAAGAAAGAAGGGGAAAGCCTCAGATGATTCACCAGATAACGCTTCACACTGTTTGGATTAACAGACACTTCACAAAGCTAATTTTGTACTTGATTATAGAAAAATATTATTTAAAACAAGCCATAGAAAGTAAATTTATTAAAAATTGGATATTACCTTTGGAGTGCATTGTACTGTTCTGTCCCTGAGATGAAATGGGTAAGAATGACAAAATCAGCACTTCTTTGTGATGATGGTTAGAATCCCATGAAATTCCAAATTCATTTCCATTTTGCAAAGCACAGAGGAAATTAAGGGAGTTCTGAAACAAAATATGCTCAGTTGAATAATTCCTGTAACAGTTTATAAGGAATTACCATAGATATTCAAATGACCATCTACGAGACTGGAAAAAACTATGCTTGTTCCTTGCAACGTAGTATAGAAAATCAAATTTTCTAAGATCTTGGTGTCAAAGTTGACCCAAAGGCCTCCCTACATAATACTCACAAAAACTGGAATCTCTATGTAAGCACACATATATTCACTAAAAGAATATGAGTATTAGCCAATGATGTCCACATAAAATTCTAAGAATTGGAAATTTAATTTCACATGAAAAATGTTTAATGAAGAATCTAATTCTTCTGATATCTGATCTAGACATCATCAAATGTCTACAAAAGTGCTCCCTAAATAACAGGAAAAAAAAATAATAAACACTGTTCTAATCCATGAGACTGGGCTAGCAAGCAAATTAAAATAGACAGTAAGATAACCCCATGAATACAACTTACTCTCCAAATTTCATGTATTTCTTTTATATAAGAAATAAATTACAAGAAAAGACTGATAATTTCTTCCTGATAGACTATCTCATAGACCTATCTATGGTGATCCTCACTGAGAAGACTATGGTATGTAAGACGATGGAGCGAATGGTTCAAGTACAGGCTCAGCCACTTCCACAGTGCTCACTGGTCATGCACCGATTCCCGAGGGTTACTTTATCGGGGTATGGATGCTGCCAGCCAAGCACTCAAAGAGTTGCCATGTAATCCCACAACACACATATATGTATATGTGTATATACATCCTTCTGCCTCTTTCTCCTAATACACTTCAACCACTACATTATTATTTTAAGACTAATATTAGTAAGTTTCCAAAATGGTGATTCTTGATACATTATAATAGATACTTAGCCATTACCAGTTAATGCTGGCAATACTGCTTGATATACGGTCATAGCTTGGTATCCACAGGGGATTTGTTTCAAGACCCCCAGTTACCAAAATCTACAAATGCTCAAGTCCCTTATGTAAAGTGGCATAATATCTGCATATAACCTATACATATCCTCCTGTCTACTTTAAATCATCTCTGAATTACTTATAATAGAATGTAAATGCCATGTAAGTAGCTATACTATATATTTTTAATTTTTATTATTTTTATTGTTGTATCGTTATTTTTTGTTGGCTTTTTCCTGAATATTTTCAAACTGCAGTTAGCTCAATTTGCTTATAAGGAACCCATGGATATGGAGGGCTGACAGTGCCTGCATATGTCTGAAATTAAATGTAGTTCTTCCCTTATAGGGGTAATTTGCCTTTAGATAAAATCTGGGAAAAGCAAAGACGACTACTGCTAGGATTCAATTTGAGTGTAATTTTATTTAAATGATGACTTATCAAATTCTGTTNATGTCTGAAATTAAATGTAGTTCTTCCCTTATAGGGGTAATTTGCCTTTAGATAAAATCTGGGAAAAGCAAAGACGACTACTGCTAGGATTCAATTTGAGTGTAATTTTATTTAAATGATGACTTATCAAATTCTGTTTTCTTCTAAGACGAATTTCATTTTTGGCCAGCATTAACTGGCAGTGACTAAGCACCTGTTATAATTGGTAAATAATCACCATTTGGAAACTTAATATTAGTTTTAAAATAATAATATAGTGGTTGAAATTTATTAGAG